CATTTCTCTGATGCAATAAAATAGAGGAAGGCAAAACGGTCGTAAGTTTTCGCATGGAGCTGCATGTTTAGGAGAGGAGGCGGGATAGAGTAATCAGAATTGCACGTGAATTCAAAATCGTAGGACCGCGATTGCACGAAACATTCATGAATTACCGCTCGGATAGCGTTCAGACTTCGCGTCGGCACACTGTGACGCGCGTATTCGCGCCATTATTGCAACAACCCCTGATTCTGTAAATGGAAACACAGCGAAAGACTACCAATTGGTGCCGGTCCTAATGCTTTGAGAGAGTACGGGAGAACAGGAGGGTACGCGTTGCGTAAGCGCCCAGTCTGCTGTCGATCGGCATCGGCCCGCGCGCAAGAGTGCAGGCTACTGATTAAACATCCATCAGGCAGTTAGTTCAAAAGACGTACAACACAGGCTAGGAAACCCACTCCAAATCTGGACAACAAAACAGGCTTACGATATGTGCGATTTTGTGCGATTACGGGAACAACACACTAAATTTCACGCTCGATTTTCGGGGTGCTATACCACCAGGGTACAGCATGGGGATGTGCGAAATGTCGGTGTGAGTACGACCCCCCCCCCTTCGAATGGGGTCCAGGGCACGACCCCCCCCCCCTCCACCTCCACGGCTTTTTCGCCGACGACGAGCGATGAGTATATAGTCGGCGAAAAAGTTGTCGAGGGGGAGGGGGTAAAGCAAAAGTACGATCCCCCATGGGTTTGACACAACGATGCTGTACCCTGTATACCACCTGCCTTCCTGTGCTTATAACCTTGTAGTTCCTGCCCACTTGTCATACCTGCCGGTTATCGTGGAAGGATCACAATCACCCACTCTCATGGGACTGGGTTGAACGAAGAATTCATATCGGGCTGAATCGTCTGCTATGACTACCGTGTTTCTAATCGTTCACTAGATATACGAATGTAGAGATCAGCAGATTCACTTTTCCGAGAGGCAAAGCGCCTGGTGATAGCGCGAAGGCTCCATAGGCATAGTGAATTCCTTACTGATCCTCTCCTTGCAAGGTGCCAACTGCCACACTCACGGGTTTTTTCACCATATCCAGAAGTGGTGTGGCCATTGTGGTTCGTTGAAGTGCTCGTAATGAAGTCATGTCTCTGGGATCTAAGCCCATCTGGCCTGATCGACCTTCACTTCGGCCCAGTGGTCGACCCTTCCCTGCAGGCCGTACATCCCCGCTGACTCGCTTCCATCCACGCCATACCACTCGTCCCATATCCTTCCTCTTTAGGCGTAACGCCAATGACATCTTTACTTCATATGGCCGAGTTGGAGCCTTGTGAATCAGCTCGCCGACGTGGAGCGTCGGCGGACGAATTTTCGGACGAGAACTGTAATTAGATCAGAGCGATAGATTTGAGAGCTGTTTTTTCTTGAGGACAAACTAGACATTCATCTCCGCGGACCCTGGTCCCTCCCATGTGTGGGATGAGTGAGTCCGCAGCTCACTAGTCTACTGATTTTCTCGCGCTCGAAATGAGGCGGCAAGGCCTGCGTTTTATACTTTGGCGCGGCAGGTAGCGTAGCGTAGGCGGCAGCGTAGCGTAGCGCTTCCAGCGTACGCCAGCGGCAGTGCCGAAGAGAGGATGCATATCGATCTAGCTTCACCAGCATTCACCAGCGGCACGCTGGCGTAACGCTAAGCGTGGCGCTAAGCGCAGGCAAGCGTACGCCAGCGGCACGACTAGCGCGACATAACGGCCTCCCCTGGCCTGAGCTCGGAGGAGCACCGCACGAGCTGGCCGAGCCGGGAGAGCAATAGCTATCGATCTAGCTTCTACCAGCGTTTCTCGATGCGTTTCCAAGCGGCAAACACAGCGTTTTGCTAGCGCTTCGCGCTTGCAGCGGAGTTAGAGATGACCATGTGGCCGCGGCCGAGTACGCGCAATCGACGGTGTATTGTAGAGACTATGGGGGCCGTCGAAAGACCAAGAATGCGTATGTTGCACTGTAAGACTATGGGGGCTGTCGAAGGACAACGTCATTGAAGACTGTGCTGAAGCGATGTGCATTGTAGAGACTAAGGGCGAGTGAGATACGCGCAATCGATGTGCTTTGTACCCTCCAGCTCTCCCATAGTCTCTACTCCCCTGCCGCTGGCAAACGCTAGCAAAACGCTGGTGAAACGCTGGAGAAACGCTGGCGTACGCTAGCGTACGCCAGCGTGCCGCTGGTGACGCTGGTGAAGCTAGATCGATATGCATCCTCTCTTCGGCACTGCCGCTGGCGTACGCTGGAAGCGCTACGCTACGCTACGCGCTGGCGTAAAACACGCTCCAAGTAACCAGGCGAACGGCTGGAGGTCTTCTTACTTCTGGCCGACTCCCAGCTCCGCCCATGCCGGAGCACGGCCAGCCCTACGCCTAACCATGGCCAAACGCGCTATTTTTCTGCACCTTCTCACTTGTGCTTGTTCTTCAACGGCTGAGTGGGATGTTTAGCTGCGGTAACTTGGAACCGGCGCAACTATTGCGCATTGAGAATAGCGTGGGAGGAATGTAGAGATGGCACCCAGGTAGGACCCCTTCAGATCGTTCCCGGGCACATTTGACTAGGGAAGGTAGCACAATACTGCAGCTGTGGACCATTCACCTCGCACATGGAGTGGACCGTCTTAGGAGGTGAGTGTTCAGTTTGTCTTTAATTTACAAAATCCTCTTATCAGAGACAATTTGTAAAACCTACTTCTGCTGGCTTGACCAACTTTTTGCGACCTTTCGATATAATAGTGCTTGGTTCCGTATTTGTAGAAATACCCTGAAACTAGGGAAGGTAGAAACACTACTGCAGCTGTGGACCCATTCACCTCGCACATGGAGATGGATCGTCTTGTGGGAGTGAGTGTACAGTTTGTCTTAAAGGCACATTCCGCGAAAAAATAAGGCTATGACCTCTCAAATGTGTCGGACGATCCGGAAGGCGATTTTTGAGGCTGCGCTACTTTCAAAATGTGAAAAACGGCAAGAACTCCGCTAGAAGCTGGCTAATTAGGCCCATGGACACCCCTTAGGCCCATGCCGACCCTCACCGGCTGCTAGCTACTAGCTAGTAGCCACTATGTTATCTTTAATCTATATATATTTCGGACTGCTTTTACTGCTGCTTTTCTCCGCTAATCAGATACTTAGCACTTTTTTGTGCCTATTTGAGTTCCGTTTCCCGCAATTTGCGGTCGCGAACTGTGCCTTTAATTTACAAAATCCTCTTATCAGAGACAATTTGTAAAACCTACTTCTGCTGGCTTGACCAACTTTTTGCGACCTTTCGATATAATAGTGCTTGGTTCCGTATTTGTAGAAATACCCTGAAACTAGGGAAGGTAGAATACTACTGCAGCTGTGGACCCATTCACCTCGCACATGGAGTGGACCGTCTTAGGAGGTGAGTGTACAATTTGTCTTAACTTACAACATTCCTCTATCAGAAACAATTCAAAACCTACTTCTGTTGGCCTGACCAATATTTTGCGACCTTTCGATATAATAGTGCTTGGTTCCGTGGTTGTAGAAGTACCCTGAAAAAGCACCATCAAAGGCAGCAGCGCACGATCACTAATAATTATTTGTGTTCTTCGTAGGGAGAGATAGAGTGGACTGCAACAAAAAACTCTGTATATTTTCACCTAAGGAAGTGGTAAGACAGCAGTGGTAAAGCAAAATGTTGCTGAAGTTACCCCGCCCACTAGATGCCTTATCTGCTGTCTCGCTTGTTTGCATGCTGTCTTGCTGCTCGCTCTGGTCTTTCGCCCGATATCCACATCGATCCTTGGCATCAGAAGGGTCTTATTCGGAACGTTCTCAACGGTTTCTTCTTTTTTTTGTTCTAGAGCAGGTCAACTAGTACATACATTTTTTTCTCACCCCGCTATCAACGGACTTCTTGGTGGCTCATCGCGAATCCTGCCTTTAAAAGTGTGTTTCACATTTCATTGCAAATCGTAGGTGATGGGGTTCAAATAAGAAATAGTAGATGCTAGCTGACCTAGAAGTGAGAAATCAAGGCGCAGGTAGGGGTCTCAATAAGTTCCCTCTATGCTGGAGCTGACCTTTATTACGGTAGATAGTACGGTAGCCATGATCAGCAGTAAGACGCGGTATGCGGCATACACTCCATAACACGGGGATGAAATGGGCGCGGCCACGAGCTTCTCTAAAAATTGGCGACTGCTGAATGTCTACTGCTGCTCTCAGACAGTTGAATCGCGATTTTGTCCAGTAGAAAACAGGATGAAGCTGTATTTATACCTTGAAGTATCCCTGGAAAAACTCCTGCCCATGCTCTAATGGAGTATGTAACCACACTCTCCGCTTCTCTGTGATATGGAGTGGACTGAAAAGAGCGCTGGGGAGAGACTTGGAAATGAGAGCAAGAAAACGCCGGGACATTATCATGGAAAAGTGGGCTACCATGAACCTGGCAACTAGATGATAAACTGCGCAATTTCAAACTGGTTGACGGGGGGGGGGGCTGTCTCCAAGCAAACACTTGGTTGATCGACTATGCTCAATGTGAAGTTCATACTAGTAGCAATAGTAGTAACTACGAAATATGCGAGCAAAAATAAATAAAGTCCACTGACCTCATATGGTTCGAGTCCGGCCATTTTCTTTTCTCGTATTTGCTTGGAGTAGAGGTACCACGCTAACGAAGGTTGCTAAAAAAAGGCGATAAATTGACAAATATAAACAAAATCACATAAAAACCCACAAGCCACTTTGTTAATTGTTTGATTTACACCTTGTTTTATTTCTCAGCTATTTCCTTTGGTTAGGACAAATTTCGGACCAGTTCGGAGTGGTGGGGCATCGAATGGTAGTCGGCCAAGCTTGTTCTGGCTACCTCGCGAAGACCTATAGATTCTTGTGACTAAAACGGTTCACTCGAACGATTTCGCAGCACTTTACAGGTCTGATCAAAGGGAGACCTGCTGGTTAACATGAACCAGCAAAAGTGGCTTGAGATGTCCCTTCCAAGCCGAACAGCGCCGCAAACTTTTACGGGACCCGGGCGATTCTATCGTCGGCAAGTCAGGTCACGTCGCGCACATCGCGTCGCGGCGTCTCGCGCGGCGGCGCGGTGCGACAATTCCGGAGTTGCATTACCGACATACAAATGAGTCTCGAAGACCGCGTATTCACAAGTTCCGAAAAGCCCAAAATTGGATCAGTAATTTTGAGCAAATAACGTGGGACCAGTCTTACACCCCTTTACTTTGAATGCGGAAAACAATCATTGATCATCATAAGCGAAACATGAGAAAAGCAGTACAGGATTAACATAAACAATATGGTTTGATGATCATTTTAACAATTTGAACGAGCACGACGCAGCAGGACTCGTACGCGGCGCCCACCAGCGCGGCGACCTACTTATCATCGACGATAGAATCGCCACACACCCGAAACTT